CAAGCAGTTCTCCTGCTCAGCCTGCTGAGTAGCTGGCATTACAGGTGCCCACCACCATGCCCAGCTAATTTTTTGTATTTTTAGTAGAGATGGAGTTTTGCCATGTTGGCCAGGCTGGTCTCAAACTCCTGGCCTCAGGTGATCCTCCCGCCTCAGCCTCCCAAAGTGCTGAGATTGCAGGTGTCAGCCACCATGCCTGGCCTAAACTTTCAATTCTACCAAGTCTATTTCTCTTTTAAATTAAGTAAACTATCCATTGCCTTCTCAACCTATTTTTTCCATCTTAACATGTTTAATAAAGCAATAATCCTTATATTTACATAGTCTATAAATTATATATACAAATGCTTATGCTGTTTTCCTCTACTGTTCACAGAAACTTCTGTTTAATATGTCTAGTAACTCAAAAACATATAGTGTCGTATATTCTAAAACTCTAAACCAAACTCATATATGCTATATCATGCAAATATTGAGAGAAAGTGAACATAATTTCGACCTATAGCTTTTTCACAATTTTTTGAACTGCAAGATGTTTCATAGACTTCTCCTGTTTCTTACATTCAAATATTCAATTGTATTTAATTCACAGCTCCTTTTTAACATACTTAGGTTGAATTTTGCCAAGATTGAATAGAATTCTGTGTGTGTGTGTGTGTGTGTGTGTGTGTTCACATATGAACCATCATCTTTATGTCATTATCAAGAGACAGCATTATTCTTATTGGGTATAACATAGCTGTTTGCAAACCATCTTTAGTCCACAAACTCTTCCTTAAACAGGATTTGGACGTATCACTTCATTAGGATGATGTAATTAATTTTAAATATTTTAGATTTCTTAGGAGATAAATGTCTGCAGCATAGCTACACCTGTGGAAAAGAAAACTAGACTTTTTTCTTTTAAAACTGCAGAAATAAAACATATGTATATAAAATCACAAATTCCAAATCCTAATATTGAGAGTTTTAATATAGCTTACATGTGAAAGCACTTGATAATTGACATTGACATAGACTTGACATACTGCCTAGATGGTGAGGATGATATTGATGGAGACTTTCGCAGTATTTCCAATGCAAGCACCAAGGGAGCAAGTATTTTTCTATATTTTGATCACCGAAATATCCCCAACTCTAGAACATTATATTGTACATAGTGAGTATGCAATGAATATTTATTGAATAAGTTAATACAGATTTGTAAACGATCACCCTACTTAGGTTTTAGATCAGTAAAATGAGAATGTAGGGATTTGGATGTTACTTGTCTGAGGGAGGTATGACAAAAGCCTAGTATGTGAGCTGTTAAGGCAGTGTTGTTGTCCTTCAATAAACTATTTTCACTGTTAAATGCTAAATTACTGATAGAAGTCAACACGTAACCAGAGGTATATGTCCTAAAGCAGAATTTACAAAAATCTTATGTTCTATATACTTCCTTGCAAAATTCTTGTATGATTTACAGAGGATTTCCATGAGATTGAATAATATGGTACTGTAATATCAATTTTACTCTGAAGACTTTTTATCTACTGAGTAGATAAAAATTATTTCCTTCAGCAGCATGCTAAGTAATAGTCACATAACTGTGTAGACATGGCTGTCGCGGTTCCTGCTCCTGGATCTTTCCTTTTGTGACAAAATTAAGTTAAAAATAAAAAATCCCAAATAGACACATACAATTAAATTGCTTTGTGATAAGTGCTTTAAACAAACTAAATGGAGAGTGGGAGTCTGAGGATTGAAAGACTCTGTAGTTACTCTGATTAGATGAGCCAATTTTGAGAAGGTGGCGTTTAAGCTGAGATCTGAAAGTTGCAACTTAAACTTAAAAAGGGACTTTTGCCTTTGGGATGGCATCTGGAATATCTGCACAGCCAGGCATAGGGGACACTGGGAGAGAAAGAGGAAAAGGGTTACTACACCTCGATGTACAACAATCAGTAGACTTGGAAATGCTTGCATCTGATAGTACCACTTACAAAAATGAAATATGCTGTCTAGTAATTATTATGAGACTCTCAGTTTTTTACACTGTCCACCAATGATTGGGATATTAAATTAACTGTCTAATATAAAGCAAACAAATTAAATGTTTGAGAATATGTAAACAAATGCAGTATAATTTTATGTAAATTTGACTATATTTCTGCTTTCTATTTGATTTATTTATTTTATACATGTTTCCCAGGATAGTCCACTGGTCTTACAGTCTGACAGGAATGTAACAGTGAATGCAAGAAATCACATGGGGCAGTTAACTGGACAGCTGACCATAGGTGAGTGTTTTGGGTAAAGATTGCCCCTACTGTGCTTGGTGTTTTTGTTGTTGTTGTTTTTGTTTTTTGTTTTGTTGTTTTTGTTGTTTAGAGACAGAGTCTCACTCTGTCACCAGGCTGGAGTGCACTTTGGGAGGCCAAGGCAGGCGGATCACGAGGTCAAGCGATCGAGACCATCCTGGCCTACTGAGCTTGTTTTAATTGAGAAAAGTAGAAGTATGTTATTTCTCTGATATATAACTCAACATCCCATTACAGCCCAGTTTTCTTGTACATGATTTGACGTGTCATAAGCTATTCATGTTTCCTCTATTTAGTAGTTATGACTCTTGTCAATATATTATTATGAGATTGAATTACATTTATTTTGCTGATCATTACCCTTGAATTATGAAATGTACCATTTTTCTAAGAAATATTTTCATAGCATATGTTAAATTATAATAAATAAACTTAAGGAAATGTGAGATGATATAACATTTTTAGGTCTATGTCCCTTTTCTAGGGGAAATATTTTCTAATAAATTGTATCTGCTTATACAAATTAGAAATTACATGAGTTGAGTATAATAAATATTCACATTTATCAATTACTTCTACATTTGATGTTGAAATTATCTGTATTTTAAGATTTATGGGCTTTATGTGTTATTAACATAAATTAATGGTGAAGTGTTACTTTTTTCTCATCTCAAATAAATATTTTAACTTAGAAATTTATATCAAAATACAAGATGTGATTACTTGACTCAGTTTTTACAAGAAGGCAAATAAGTAATTTGTAATGTAAAGTTTTGATATGCATGTAGATTCTGAATTATTTTTATAACACTATTGGTTCTGTGGATAAATTGCTTAATATAAACATGACATATCTCTTTATCTATACATACATGCACATATATATAAAGAGATAGAGAATGAGAAAGAGAGAAAGAGGAAAGTAAATTACAGCTTTGAGGACTGAGGTGTTGTTATTTTAATGAGAAATTAATCATCTTTAAATGCAAATGTATGTTTCCAATATTTCTAATTAAATTATGCAAAAATATTGCGTTTGAAACATGAGCTTTAAAAACATGAATTTGGATTCTGTGTACTTAATTTGTAGGTATATGTTTTTTAATATTTGTTTTGATGAAACCAAAAGGGAAACATTTTAGTATATATGAATTTTCTAAAAATATAATTTTATTTGTAAAAATTGTTTCGCTTTACATCACAAAAGTTTGTCATTACATATCTATTAATTGCTACAACTGGATAATGTTTTGTGATAATTAGAAATAAAGCAGTTATAGAGGGGTGCTATTAGCAAATGGATTCAAGATTAAATAAAAGAAATATGTATATGGATATAGAACTAATTCAGAAGCAAAAACCGTCCACTTAAATATTCGTGCTAATTCACTCCTGTTATGTTGGAACTGCAGAAACTATAGGCCTATGGAAACAGGCCTAACCTTGGTAGATTTTCCGTATCCTAATTTTCTTAAAGTTGAGAACTCTTCAGCCAGATGGAACTTCCTTTTGCATTCAGTCTTTGATATAAAAAATTCTTAGTAGAAATGTCAAAATGTAAATTAAGAGTCGGGCACGGTGGCTCATGCCTGTAATCCCAGCACTTTGGGAGGCCAAGGCGGGTGGATCACGAGGTCAAGAGATCGAGATCATTCCATCCAACATGGTGAAACCCCATCTCTACTAAAAATGCAAAAATTATACAGGCATGGTGGTGTATGCCTGTAGTCCCAGCTACTTGGGAGGCTGAGGCAGGAGAATGACTTGAACCGGGAGGTGGAGGTTGCAGTGAGCCGAGATCGGGCCTGGGCGACAGAGTGAGATTCTGTCTCAAAAAAAAAAAAAAAAAAAAAAAATAGTTAAGTAACTGCACAAAGATTATATACCCATGCCCACTGTCAGACACAATAGCTACATAATTCCTGCCTATAGAGCAAAGCAATCATTTGATTATGTGAAGTACAAATACTGTTTGCATTTCACTGCATGCTTTCCTGCAGGAAATAAAGAATATAGTGTGCTAGGATTTTCAGTTACCTTTCCAAACTGATTGTAATGTTATATTGATATTTGCCACATGAGAGAAAAATAGCAAGAGGAGGAGGGAGAAAGAAAAAAATGGTAAGCTGAGTTTTAAATGCAGCAAATTATTAAGTTAATGACACAGCAGCTTATTGTGCAGAGACATACATTTATTCCAGTGAGGATTTAACTTAAAAACTATTTAATATCCTGGTCCTTTGAGTGTATTTTTGATGATTTATATATTTTTACTGGTTTGCATATTTTAATGAACATAGAACAAAAGAAGACTAGGGCTGTGTGAAAGGAGATAATGTTTTCATTTTTGAAACAAAGACACAGGGAGCTACTTAGTAGTTGTTTGGGTGCCAACAAACTAGTTAGTCTTTTGGACCCTCTGTTTTCTCATCTCTAAAAGGGAGATAATGACACATTTTGAATGCTGTTATAAGCATTATGGTGATGTCAGTGTCTACAAATGGTAGGCAATTGTATATTGAATCTATTGGTGTAATGCTGGTGAGTGTCATTATTGATATCACTTACATTACAAATACAGTGATATTATGGGAGAAATCTCATGATGTTTTTCTCTTCTGTGTATCTGTGTGATATTAGATAAGGTTGAATTATGATACTGTTGAGAGAGATGTTACAAAACACAACACAGAAAGTGTTTCCCGTGTTCAGAAACTCTTCAATTATGTAAGAATAAATTTACCTTTATGTAGAGTTTGAAGACATACTTGAATGAGGCAACGTAGAAAATTAAAAATTTATTTCTAAAGACTCTAATTTTAATTGTGTATACATAAAGTAGCTGTTCTAACCCTCCTAGTCTATTTCTTTTCTTATTCTTTCAGTTTTTATGTGTATGGCCTTGATTATAGTATAGTCATGATACTATTTTTGCAATATTAAAAAAATTACCACACAAACTGAATCATCATGGAAAAAAATTTCAGTTACTCTTCATTTTCTAAGTAAAAAAATTCTGTTGTCTGCCAATCAAATGCATCGATTTCTGTTAGAAAGGTATACTCAATTCTAAAAATATAACAATTTCAATATTTTTCCAGATTTTATTCTCATTGTACCATTTTCCTCAAAAAAGTATGTAAGTAGTTTCAGCAAAGCAAGTATCAATTTCTCTTGTACCCTACCTTTTTCTTTCTCTATAAGCCTAGCTTCCTACTAATTCCACTCACAGGGATATATCTAGTTCAGCAATTAGACCAACCCATGTGATAATTCTAATCCTGACTCACTGATAGAATTTTAAATCAAATTATTTCTAATACAATAAATGCAAAAGAGAAATATTGTATACATACACTGGCTCAAGCATAATAAAAACTAAATCTAAATATTTTAAAACTTTAGGAAGACAAATCAATTTGACAAACATTTTTGTGAATTGATAAATTTTCAGGCTTTATGAATTTGACCAGATAATATCCAGTTTCCCTCATTAAGTCTTGGATTCTAATTTTCATGACCTTCATAACGTTGGAGGAGATTGGTGAACTCAAGATTTCTTCCTCCAAATTTCTCTTCTTAGAATAAAGCTGAAAGAGAGGAATGAGATTGTTGTTGAGAAGTGGTTAAAGAAAGTACAACATCCCAAGAGGTCAGACTCCTTGAAGAAAAAGCAAGAACTTTCTTAAACAAGTCTCAGAATCATTCTCCAGGTCAAAATTTTCTATTATTTAATCTATAATTACTATGTTCTTTAGCAGAATATTATTTTTCTTTTATAGGTGAAAAAAGTGTGTGACTTTAGGTGTGTTATATATTCATATATGTTGATAACATGATATTTTCCATGACTTGCTATCAAAAAAGTGGGTAAAGGATGTAAATTATGCACCATCTTTGTGAAGGTTGTTTTATTATCTCAGGGAACAACTATAGTATGTGATATATAGAATAAAAATCTTTATGGTAGTATAAATAAAATACGAAGTTTTGATATAGACTTTGTTTACAACATTAATAATAATTCTGTAGTAATTTGGTTCACTGAAAATGTGATACTCTTTCCCACAGTATCATGAGGATAATTATATTTTATTTATCAATAACATTACATTGATATTTAACAGACTATATTTAAACCACTTTTATAAGTAGTTAACAAAGTATAGGTTGATTTCAGTAAAATAATTTATCCTTTAAAAATCTTAGCCAACCTGGCTGTTTTTAAGCTATAGATTACCTTTTCTTATGTTACAGAAAATATCTTTTATTTTTTATAAAGCAATGGCTAAAAACTAATATAATATTTTCCTTTCTCATGTGCCTTATGCCATCATTCTATAGCTGAAGGATAAAAATGAAAGGAGGATAAATTCAGAAACTGGAAAAAGAATAATCTTAACTGGTAGAGTTAGCTTTGTGTTTTTTATTTTGTTTATTTGTTTGTTTTGTTAGTGTTCTGCATTTAAATTTTAGTCACAGTGACTTCTGAGTTATTTATCATGGCTACTTATGGGGTCCTACGTCATAAACAAGAAAAAGTTCCACAATCCCACATCTATATTATTATCCCACTAAAACATTAAGGTTAATTGGGTATTAAAAAACTGAATGTCATTCTGAAATTTTAGTTTTAGAGTGTGCTTAAAAACCACAGTCTTATGCTTTAAATAGGATCTCATATTTCATCATAGGTCTCCTTGTTTAATGCTCAATAAATTTGGAAGAATGAATTCTGAATGAATTAACACCTAGGAAAGGCTTGCAGTTATTGTCAGAATCATTTACTTATCTTTGATATTCTCATTTCTACTTATCAAAAATCAGTGGCATAACCAAATTGTATAAAAATCTTAATTATAATCTTTACTTTCTCATTTTCTGTTTTTCCTCAGTAGTTCTTGAAACTTAGGCCTTAAATAAGCCTGACTATATGTTAATAAGGAAGAATGGCATTTGCAAGCAATTAAACAAAGTGA